ATGAGTCCTTAGCCAGCAATGTACTGGCAGCAGATGTGGCCATCTTATTCCAGATGAAGGGACAAAGCCCAGAGAATTGACCAGGCAACAGGAGGAGGCATGAGCCAGGGACATTTGTCCAGTGCTCACGATGCCAGCCTCTCCCAGTCTTGCTGGCACGAGGTTTCTGTTCTTTAGTGATGGAACCCGGCAGGAGGTCTCCAGCTATCCCTGCAAACAGCAAAGCCAAGCATTGGCACATGCTGCTCACAGCTGGCCAGGGAGTCTGAGTTCTGAGCCTCTTCTCCAGCAGTGCTGGCACCCGGACTCTTGGACATGCCTTGTAGGTCCTTTCGGATGGGGCATCTGTCCTGCCTGGGGACTATGCTTAGCCAGTTACAGTGCTTCTCGCTACCACTGGAGACAGAACCCAGCAGTGCTGTCCTCCTCAACTTTTTTTCTCCTCCCAATTAATTAATTTAAATTGACCATTAAGTCAGCCGAGGTTTTGATTGATATTTTCATTAGTAGCCCTGTCCGACGCCCCAGGAATGTATGGCGATGTCCAATCCAGGGGCGGCCATGCTCCTCCTCGTGCTGAGTTATGGCTGGCACCAGCGTGTGGCTCCCAGGGTAATTTGAATTCAGATGAGCTGCAGCGGCGTTCCGGAGGCTGGCGGCCGGCTGCTGACGGATGGCACTTGGGTTACTACAAGGTCACCGTGCAGCCACCACCGCGCTAGAGGAGTGGCCCAGGCCTCTGGGGGAGATGGGCAGTCTCAGGGTAGGCAGCCACATAGACCCTGCAAGCTTCCCAGTCTACGCCCCTGTCCTGTTAACCTACAGTCGAACCCCAGGCTCTCAAGTTCACGTGGTGCAGCCTCTTCTGTGGAGGGCAGGTCCAGGTTGCATCATCAGGAAAGCCAGGCTGTCACCGGGAAAGTTGCCTACAGAGTGCCTGCCAGTGATGGCAGCTGAGACGTACTTGGAGCGTGACAATATTGTCTGTACCCAGTGTCATGTCCTGAGGAAGATGCTCCAAGTCCTGTCACACCAGGTGGGTGGCTGGACCAGCTTCATTCCTACTGTCCAGCATGGGGACTAATGGCAGAATGGAGGCATGGAGTCCTGTGTACTTGCATGACTGTGGATATCACGATGGCACCCCACACTTTGTCACCCATCTCTACAACAGTGAGGTATGATGCCTGCTGCTTGATTTAGGATGAGGATCAATGGCAGCTGGGTAAAGCACACAGCCTGTGCTGTGCACACTCAGCACCCCGTGCTCTGGCTGCCTGGTCACAAGGAGGCACTGGCCAATGGAAGCAGATCTGCCCAGTTTAGTTTTAGATGTAGTTGCTCCCGGGGCTGGAACTACTTTGTCCCTGTCCCTGCCTCCTTCCCATAAGAACTCTGTCACGTGGGCTGATCTGCTGACTGCGCAGGGGTTGGGCAGGGAGGTAAGAGTGTCCAGCAGGGTTCTCTGTCTGCCATCACCATCTGGTTTGCTTTGTCTGGTCTCAGTTACCTGAGTGTGGCGAGAGGATGAGGTTGTGAGTGAATGTGTATTGTTTGACAGACAAGGTCATGTCAAGACTCCATGACTCAGATCCATGGGAGAGGAAGCCTTCCTGGGCGAGGTTCAGAGGGATGCCAAAGCCTTCCTCTTGTCTGAGTGGGGATGTTGGTGGCGTGTGCAGGAGCTACCAACCAGCTACCTACTCTGGGATGATTGCAGCCTGAGACTGCTCCACTACAAGAACACCTGCCGAGATTAGCTAAACCTGCCTCCTTGTTCAGCTGTACACAGTGAACCTGCCTCCTCCATCCAGGCGTATAAAATAAACCCGTTGTTTCCGAGCTGCTATTGTTGTTGATGGCATGTCTCCACACAGTTCACCTGATCCCAGTTTTCTGTCCGTATGTCCATGAGCCTGTCCACTCTTCACTCTGCATCACTTCAGTCGGGGTTCCAGCACCAGTCCATGGAGGATGCGGCAGCTGAGGTTGCCCTCCATCCAAAACATTACAATGGAAACACCAGCTCCTACTTTAAATTGTGAGCCATCCCTAGTGGCATGATGAGATCTTGTATAGTCTTGTGCCCTCTCACCCTGAATGAGACTTCTCCCTCTGCTCACCATGCCCACAACACATGTGCCATCTTCTAGTTACCTAGTAAACACCTGTCATCAGGATTAGCCGTCTCAGTATCTCAGTGGTGGGTACAAGGTTTGTATATTCATGGCTCAAGGTACCTGCCAGGGTTTGGAGCCCATCTCTCATAGGGGACACAGAGAGGAACAGTGTCGCCTTCAGAGACGGGGTTGAGAGATATCCACATGGAGGGACTTCTGCAGGGCCTGGTGGTGTGCCCAGGGGCTGGTGGTGTGGGCACTGGGGAGTATTAGGAGTGTTTTTGTTAGCATTGCTTTGTTGTGGGTGGATTGCTGCTGTTTTGTTAGTGATATTAATATTGATGGTGGTGAAGTGTTCTAGCAGGCCCAGATATGGCAGACACAGGCCTGAGCATGGCAAACATTGCAGACAGGTTTTGCCTTTTACTCATTTCCTCTCCCTTGCTAAGAACTGTTACATTTCTAAAGCTAGGCCCCAAGGTTCATTCCCTTATTCGGCCACTGACTCTCATTCCTGAGACAAACACCAAGGTCCAACAAATCAAAATCTGGCTAACATGTCCAATCAGGATTTACCAGCTCACCTTAGCACAGACCCCTCCCCTTCCCCTTAAAAGCCCACTCCTGCAGAAACACCTGTTCTCTTGCTTGTTGCTTGCTGATGATGTCACCGTTGCAGGACCCCCGCCTCCGCTTGTCCCTCTGGGTTGTAAATCTCCTTTGGGCTGAGAGTTTGGTGTCTGGGTGTGTCATGTACTGACTCCAAGGGCGCTGACCTCCCTTGCAGGTGGGGTAGGTGGGATGTTGTTAGTGGTATTGGTGAGAACAGTGGGAATGTGTTGTGTTTGTATTGCTAGTGCTGTTGGTGGTGATGTGTTGTGTTATCACTGATGGGGTACATTGTTAATATCGTTGTTGGGCTATTGTTGATGGTATTGGTGAAGATATTGGTGTGCTGGCAGTGGTGGTAGTATTACTGTCAATACTGCTGTGGCTTGTGTGTGAGCCTGTACAATGCTCAAGGATGGTAGTAACTAAGGAGACTTCACTCCGTGAGGCAAGAGCCCTGAGATCCTCCCACATCCAGGATCATCCACAAGTTGAGGGGAGAGGCCTGAGGCACACCCTGGGGAGTATCTTATGGAAGAAGTCATTTCATTCAGTACCAACTATTGAACACACACAGGAAAGATTCATTATGGGAGCAAGATGGCACTTAATAAAATATTAGCTTGCAACCATGTAGATGAGATGGGAGCCAAGATGGTCATGGGACAGAGGGAGTAAAGCTAATCCATGAGCCGGAATTGTGTAGAGGCTTTATCCCTCTAAGCCTGGCTGCTCAGTCTGCCCAGCCCTGTTATCTGATTTTGTTCTGGTTAGGACCCTGGATCCATGCTTCAGCCTCCTTCCCAGGGTTCCTGGTTGGACAGGAAAGGAAAGAGGTTAGGCCACTTGTGTGGGCTGATCCTGTGGAGCCTCCCCCTGCACATCACCACAGGCCCCTCCCCCTGTCCTGACCCACAACAGGGTGGAGTGGTGACCTCTTGCCTATACAGGCAGCTGCGGGCAATGGTTGGTGTCAGTGAGCTACTTCTGTAGACGCTGCTGGAGCTGGAAGAGAGTACATGAGTGTGTCTAGTCCAGTGCCCTGCTGTCCGGGGCACCCTGCTCTGTTTGAGTGCCTCCACAGTGCTCCATCATCCCCTTCTTGTTTTCAGCTCTAGTCTGGATGTCTGGTGTTTCACAAATGTCACCATGTCATTATTGTATCCATTTAAGGCAGTGGTTCTCAACCTGTGGATCGCGACAGATTTGGATTGAATGACCATTTCACAGGAGTCACCTAAGACCTTCGGAAAACACAGGTATTTATATTATGATTCATAACAGTAGCAAATTTACAGTTGTGAAGTAGCCACCAAAGTAATTTCATGACTGGGGCTCACCACAACATGAGGAACTGTATTAAAGGGTCACAGCATTAGGAAGGTTGAGAAACACTGATTTAAGGTCTCACTCTGTTGCTCAGGGGTTACTACTCTGGGAGAAGTCCATGGTGCTCAACCAGACTCAGTAAGGAACTGCTGGCCAGGGACCAGGCAGCAATTTTTCCATCCCATAGCTCCACAGCCAAGTTCATACCACAGCCAGTCATACCAAGTTCACAGCATGATCATACTCCAGTCTACATCACTACTCAGAGGCTAACATCTGCCCACCTCTGGCTGGCCAGGGGCCTTTCTTCCTGTCCTCCCTTCTGAGGGGGTGACTCAGAGTGCCACCTTTACTATCCAGTCCTATCCCAGAATCCAAACAAAGCAGGGTATCCAAGGGACCCTGAGTTCTATGACCAGAGTATCTGGGACATCAGCCTTCTTCCCTCACAGGCATTCAGGGTACAGAATTTCTCTAGGCTGGAGTGTGGCTGTCGTTTGCCCACCAGTCCGTGTTAGGGTGAACATCTTCCAGTCTACTGACTTTTAATGGCAGCACTTGGAGGTCCTTGTTCAGTGCAAGGTAACTCCCTAATAGGGTCCCAGCTACCTTGTCCGTCACTCAAAGGTGGTGGCTGCCCCACTTCTGTCCCCAACATGCAGGACTTTGCTTGCCCTTTTCTTCTATCTCACGGGCATTTTCTTCAGATATCTTGCATGGGCCTCCACCTTCTCGGTGCCCCGTCATCCTGCTCACCAGCCTACTCCATGCTAAGCAGATGCTTTGGGCGTCAGCTTCTGCTGAGGGTGTGCCCTTCCCATGGCAAGGAGACACAGATTTCCACTAATGGAGACACCCTTGACCCATGGATTGGCTGTTTCCAGTGCTGGTGGGAGGGTGTATCTGCAGGGTGTAACATCGCATCATGCTATCTTTCAGCAAGACGATTCTAGGTAACAGGAAGCCAACGGGTGGCCATTGGCAGACTGCTCCAGAAGAGTAGCTAATGGTGTCCTTAGAAAGAAGCGAGAGTGAGAAGAGGAGGAAGCTTGGGCTGTGGAGAAAGGCGCTCGTGTTTGGTGAGTGCTCTGCGCTCTTCCTCCTTGGAAACACTCTAGAGCAGCAGCTCTCAGCCTGTAGGTCTTGGCCCCTATAGGGGTTGTCTTAGTTGCGGTTTCTATTGCTGTGAAGAAACACCATGACTGTGGCAATCATTATAAAGAAAAAAACGTCTAATTGGGGTGGCTTGCATCTTCAGAGGTTTAGTCCATGATCACGGTGCAGTATGGTGGTGTGCAGGCAGACATGGTGCTGGAGTAGGAGCAGAGAGTGCTCATTTTAACCCCAGCAGGCAATATGGTTTGAGACAATGGGTGTGGCTTGAGCATATTTGAGACCTCAAAGCCTTCCTCCATAGTGATACACTTCCTCCAATAAGGCCACACCCACTCTAACAAAGCCACACCTCCTAATAGTGTCGTTCCCTTTGAGGGCCATTTTCTTTCAAACTACCACAGGGTGTGAATGACCCTTCCACAGGGTCACCTAAGACCATCAGAAAACACCAATATTTACATTACAATTCCTAATGGAGGCAAAAATTACAGTTATAAAGTAGCAGTGAAAATAATTTTATAGTTGGGGATTACCACAACATGAGGAACTGTATTAAAGGGTCACAGCATTAGGAAGTCTGAGAACCACTGCTTCTAGAGCCTGCATGGACTTGAGGCAAAAATCTGATGTGGTTTCACCCAGGTCCTGACAGAGGCTGAGACAGCTGCATCGAATGGGCCAGGCAAAGGGACGAGGTTTCTACACTTCACTCAGATGGCACAGCACTCGCAGCAGAGAGCTGTGGTACATGGTGTGTACGCATCTTCAGACAGGTGCAGCTCACGATGTGCCGTAGACTCAAGACACCCACCATGTCAGCGAGTGACCCAGAGCTATGAAGACATTTTGAGGATTTTCTAGAAGAACCACCAAGTTTTGGAGTGAGGTGTGAGCTCATCTTTGGTTACTGTGGACAGGCACTGATAATTCCTCCTTTGCAGATGCTAGCAGTGTTGCCACGCTGTTCCTGGGAGAGCCCTTCCTTTCTCTATTAAAGAGCATTAGTGCCTTGTCACAAATAATTGACTGTCTGTGCAGACCTCTATAGCTCTCTGTGTCCTCTGTTCTTGCCCCTCTGATCTGGGGGCGTGTCTAGATTCTCCTGTCCTGATTGCTTCTGTGACCCTGTAGCCCCCACAGTTTGCATGCCTGCGGAGCCAGCATCATGTGGGTGATGTCAGGGTCTGCCGACAGCCTGAGCATTATCTGGGCCCCCTTAGACCCATAGCTTCCAAGATTTGTAAGTTGCCTGATGACTGAACCTGGGAAAATACTTCCTAGGCAGCTCCATGTGACAGGGTGATCTGGAGGTAGCCCTCTTTTCAAAGAAAAGTCTTTAAAAATGAGTTCATAGTGCTCTGCCATGGAACATGTGGGTCTACCTGGTTCCTGGGATGTCCTCAAAGCATATTTACTGTTGTCCTGAGGCAAAATCTTTGCCCCCACCCCAACGCTGAGAATCGGATTTAGAGCTACGCAAGCACTTTCTCACTGAGCTATAGTCCCAACCCTTGGGTTCTTTTTCATGGAAAAATAAAAGGCAAGCATGCCTTCCTTAACCCCACTTCCACACAGACTTTTCTGACTAAATCGGAAGTTTTCCAAGTCTGTTTCTTCCCCCTGATTCTTCCTGTGAAGCCGGTGTCCAGAAATGAGCGTGGCACAGCTGGAGTGCCGCACTGCCCAGACATTTCCTCTGCAGAGAAGCCTTTCGCCTTTGGACTTACCCTCTCACAGCGTTGCAGGATGTGGGTGACATGCACACTTTGTCAGAGTATAATAGGAGTGGCCTCCAGCCTGGTCCTGATAGTGTCCTTGTCCGCGGCAGGAGCCTCCTGAGCACAGTGTTCACTGGTCACATTTCTGTAGGCGTTCTGCTCTGAGCTCTCACCAGGACTGCCCCTGAGCTCTGCTTACAGCATTCCAGGTCTTCTCTAGCCCACACCCCAAACACTTCCACATTTCTCCCACAAACCAGTTCCAAAGGCCTGAGCACCGTGTGGTTGGGTTTATTGTAAGAACAGCCCCACTTTTCAGGCAGTGATTACTGTAACTGTCAGACTTTGGTCACCATGACCAAAATACCAGACCTGCACAATACAAGGGAGGAAAGATTTATCTGGACTCAAGGTTTTGGAGGACTCATTCCATCATGGTAGGAAGACAAGACAGGGCAGCTTACACCATGCAGGGAGAAAATAGGAAGGGACGGGAAGGAGCCAGGATCCCCAAGGACCAGCCTCTAGCGATCTACTTCATTTAACTAGCTCCACCTTCTAAAGTTTCAAGAACTGACTAAAACATCTCCAGCTGGGGACCTGGGCTTTATAGTACATAACCCTGTGGGGCGATAGTTCACATTTAAAGCATAAGAGAGGGTCTTAAAGCGGGAAAAAATTTAGGTCATTCTAGACTTTCTGCATAGCTCAGCAAGTTTTACAAAGAGGCCATTGGTATTTTGATTGGTATCATGTTAGATCTATATACCAACTTAGAGGATAATTTACATCTTAACACTATTGAGTTTTTCATGACCTTTGCCCTGCTTATCTGTCTTCTTTAGTTTCTCTCAATTACCACAGCACTGTTGAACACATTTGTTCAATTTATTTCCATGTGTCTTTCTTTCTGGTGTTAATTAGGACTTTATTTTTTTATTTTTTCTGATTTTTTTCTATTAGCTTATATAATAGAGTTGAATTTTTGTCTGTTTGTTTCTCTCTAAAGTCTCACCAATTCATTTATTAATTCTGGTGGTGATTTTGTGGATTCTTTAGTCCCTTTCCCCAGAACTTATTTTTTAAACAATTTTTATTATAGTTCATTTATTTGTGTATTTGTGTGGGTGGGCATGTCATGATGTCCATGTGGACATCAGATGATAACTTTCAGGAGGTAGCGCTCCCTCTGTTCATCATATGGGTTCCAGGGAACTCAGGTCCTCCGGCTTGGCAGCAAATGCTTTTACTTGAGTCATTGTGCCGCTTCCCCAAACTTATTTGCTTAAAACATTAGCTGTTGACTATGTTGTTGTGTCCTAGGATCCATGACAATATGTAGCTCAACTGACCTCTGTTTCAAGGTTATCATCTATGGACCATCTACGGGTGGAGTCCAGATCTCATCCAAAGAGTTCTCTGGAGGGACAAAACCCAAGGAAGTGGTGTTCTGTGGATGGACCAGTGAGGGTCAGTGTCCCCAGGGATGGCAAGAGGCCAGAGACAGAGGGGGTATAGAAGTAAGAGTCAACAGTTGGCTTGTTGGGTAGGACAGGACATCGTGGGGGCCCTGGAGAACAAAGTACCAGATGTGATCTGTGTCTGTGTTACGGTGACTGTCATGAAGGAAGTGACCTCAGGGCAGCAGCAAGGACAGAGAAGGGCTCTGAGTAGCAGGGTAGTTGGGCGGGGCCTGTATCTATGGTATGTCCACCTGTACTTCTCCATTCCTGGATGTATATGAGTGTCCGTGTGCCCCTCAGATTCCCAGAGCCCCTGTTCCAGGGTCCTTGCAGGCACCAAAGCCCTCTTGTGCTCAAGCGCTTCCTGTAAAATCACATGTAGAGCCTACATACACCTCCATCATTCTAGACTTTTCCACAGACCATACTAGAAGAAGATGTAAACAGTTGGTACACTGACCTGTTTAGGGAATAACAAGAGCCATCTGTATTCATTGAGCAGACAGAATTTAAAGGTAGTTTTGATAGTTAATGGACTCTGCAGACGCAGAATCCTCAGGCACACACACATCTGCCCATTTCCATCCATACGAGTGTCTTCATCTTGAACTCTAACTCAACAGCCCGGGACTATTCTAGGCCCTTTACTTCCTTCTCTAGCACTTGAACCCCAGGCTTCTTGTCCTTAGATGCTTGATTATTGGTCATCCCTTATATCTGCTCCTTTCCACCACAGCCCTCCCTTCACCCTGGCTCAGCTCTCCTCACCTAACCCAACCTCTGTTGTGTTCCCCAGACTCGTATCTGGGGCTGGCAGAGCAGGGATACCGTAAGTCACAGTCAGTTGGCTTTTGTGCCTACGGCCAAACAAATGTCCCTAGACTCCAGCTACCTGTGTTTAGTTTACTTTCTTGGTTCCTCACCAGCCCTCCCTGAACTGTGTCGGCGTAGATGTCCTGTGTGTGGCTTTCGAGGAACATGCACTTTGTAAGAGTCTGTATCTGTGAATTTGCCTTCCTGTTAAAGTGTGTTGGGGACCCCCAAGTCAATGCCTGCTGTACTTTGTGGCCATTTACAGACAAATGTAGTCACTAGAGGTATGCTCCCCGGAGAGGTGAGCAGGCCACACTCTGAGTGACAAGAGTCTTATTGGAGGTTGTTTGTGCCACATTTTCACTCTGCTATCTAGTGCCCCTCTGTGTTAGGCAGCTGCCTGTCACTTATTGGAAAACTTGTAGGTTGCAGAGGTTTGTTCATGTGTGTTGAACTGCTGGCTATGGACACAGTGTTAACTAACCAGAACTGCACATTCCATCTTTGCTTAAAAAGAGCCAAGCACAACAAGGGGCGTGAGATAGGACCCAGAGGTCCATGAGCGCCTGACCCTGTGCAAGCCAAGGAGTGGCACAGAATTTGCTGGATGGCGGCATCCACAGAGGCCTACAACAGAAGCAGCTCCCTCAGTGACCATCCTCTGTGGGCTTTACGCTTCCTTGAGGCTTTGGGCTGGCGCTGGAAACTCGCTCACCCAACTCTTGTGATGAAGTCCATGGGTGACTGCGCCCCAATGGGTGGTCTAGGCACAGTGTGCATTTCCCCATCCTTTCACAATAGTGAACGCTTGGGTTCCTGGCAAGGTCTCCTGAGCTTGAGTTCCACAGTAGGATTTTGAAATCTGAGGGTTCACAGACACCCAGCTTCTTGAGCCACAGCCTGCCTCCATGGCTTACTGCCTGTAGCCAGATGGCCTGGGCCTCCAGGGTCTGCCAGCCCCAGATAGGATCTGAGCACGGCTGTCTGTTCTCTTGAGGGCACAGTGTATCCGTGGGGAAAATCTGTTGCGGGAAACTCTTCACCAGTGAGTGACCCAGTAGTTCTCTTTTGGGTTTTTTCTGACTTTTTTTCCTTTCCTTGTAGTGAGACATCAACCCCGCCCACACCTGTAGCGCTGACCATGCTTGTGAGGACATGATGGGGAGTGAATTTAGGTCTGGGGTCCGGGCAGGTGGCTCTCTCTTGCGTCTGTCCGGTTGGGTCACAGGGAGCAGCCTGAGTGGATCCTTAGAGCGTGAGCTTGTGGCCGCCATCTGCTTCTTATGTCAGTGACTTTTCCCCGAAATGAATTTAACATTTGAACCCAGCCCCGTGAATCCTTATCCGTGCCCCGCATTTCCTCTTTAAAAAATTGTTTATTTATGTATTGTGACTACTATTGATAGTAGTAGTAGGTGTGTGTGTGCGTGTGTGTGTGCAGGTGTGTGTATACGTGTGTGCATGTGTGTGTGTGCATGTGTGTGTATACGTGTGTGCATGGGTGTATATGCGTGTGTGCATGTGTGTGCATGTGTGTATATGCGTGTGTGTGCATGTGTGTGTGTGTGTGCATGTGTATGTGCATGCTGATGTGCGCAAGTGCATGGCTGAGTGCTGGCATGTGCTGTCATGGTGCCCATGTGAAGGTCATAGGACAGTTTTCAGAATTCTCCCCTTCTCCTGTGGGTTATGGGGACTGAACTCAGTGGTCACACTTGTATGACATCTTGCTAGGATTTCTTTTTTTAAAGAAAGAGACAGGATTACAGGATCCAAGGATGGCCTTGAACTTGATATGTAGTTGAGAGTGACCTTGAAACTCTGATTGTCCTGCCTTCACCTCCTGTATGCTGAGATTACCAGTATGTGCCACTGTGCCTGGTTTTATGCTGTGCTTGGGTTGAGCCTGTGGTTTTAGATACATTAGGCAAGCATCCTTTCTACTGTGTTACATCCCCAACCCTGGCTTTTCCCATCAATTTCCAAAACTTCTAACATGTTCTCATTATAGATCTTGGCACTCAGTCTGAGAAAGGATACAGCTATATATTTT